CAATATCAGTTTCATATTTTCCAGGTAAATTCAAACATCTTAAAAAAAAAAAATTGTGAACTAGACTACTATTTCATTTTGTTAAGTAAATTAAATATAGTAGAGTAGGTTTAAGATTTTACTGGTTGTGAAAACTGAACAGATGTTTTGTTTATTTTTAAACTTTTCACTTTCTTTGTACCCTTTCAAGTGAATTGAAGATCGAGAATAGAAAAAGTTGAAATTTGTGAAAATTATTATACCTAGGAAGATGGAGACGTATCAAGAAAAATGAACAAATTTCTAAGCAGGAATGATACAAAGGAAGATGTTGGGATGTTCAAGAGGGGACGATTCATGGGAATATTAAATAGCATGTATTCTCCCAAGAGTCGTCGCCTCTTGAATGCCCCTTTCACTACACAAGATAATCTTCGTTGTCTTGGATTGTTGGGCAGTAAACTATGTTTTCCTCCTTTTCTCACTGACATAGGTGTCATAGTTCTTCAATTGATGTCTATAAATTAGTACTTAGTTTGCCAAAAAGTTTTGAGATTTTTTTTATAATTTGTTAATATCTCAATCAGAGTCTATAGTATTCAAACATTTTTTGTATCAATGTTGAAAAATATAGTATAAGTTTTTGGGTTAAACAGGTTTTAATTAGTCAGTATTATTCTTTAACTAAGCCTAGCACAAATTTTAGCTCCAATATTGTAAAAGCATGCTAACAAAGAGGAGGTGAATAATGTGACTTAGAATTTAAAGATGAAACTGATATTTGCAACCATGAAAATAATGTTGATGACACTTCTGCCAAGAAGAAGGCTATTAAGAGTTAATAAAAAACATAATAAATAAGAAGAATAAACAGTTAATTTATACTAAAACACATTTTTTACTAAGTCTTTTATTTTTATCGGGCCTTGGTTATTTAATAAACTGGCAGATAACATTAAAACCTCAAGGAACAAAAAACATTTTCTAAAAAACTTTAAGAAATGGTTGTTTGAAATTGATGAAGTTGACTTAAAATTAAATATTTAGGCATAATTTAGTTCTTTTGTGTATTATAGAAATTCGTTTTTTGTTTATATGTACAGTTAATAGAATATCAGTTTCATATTTTCCAAGTAAATTCAAACATCTTAAACAAAACCAAAAAATTGGTGAACTAGGCTACCATTTGATTTTGTTAAGTAAATTAAATATAGTAGAGTAGGTTTAAGATTTTACTGATTGTGAAAAATGAACAGATGTTTTGTTTATTTTTAAACTTTTCACTTTCTTTGTACCCTTTTAAGTGAATTGCAGATCGAGAATGGAAAAAGTTGAAATTTGTGAAAATTATTATACCTAGGAAGATGGAGACGTATCAAGAAAAATGAACAAATTTCTAAGCAGGAATGATACAAAGGAAGATGTTGGGATGTTCAAGAGAGGACGATTCATGGGAATATTAAATAGCATGTATTCTCCCAAGAGTCGTCGCCTCTTGAATGCCCCTTTCACTACACAAGATAATCTTCGTTGTCTTGGATTGTTGGGCAGTAAACTATGTTTTCCTCCTTTTCTCACTGACATAGGTGTCATAGTTCTTCAATTGATGTCTATAAATTAGTACTTAGTTTGCCAAAAAGTTTTGAGATTTTTTTTATAATTTGTTAATATCTCAATCAGAGTCTATAGTATTCAAACATTTTTTGTATCAATGTTGAAAAATATAGTATAAGTTTTTGGTTAAACAGGTTTTAATTAGTCAGTATTATTCTTTAACTAAGCCTAGCACAAATTTTAGCTCCAATATTGTAAAAGCATGCTAACAAAGAGGAGGTGAATAATGTGACTTAGAATTTAAAGATGAAACTGATATTAGCAACCATGAAAATAATGTTGATGACACTTCTGCCAAGAAGAAGGCTATTAAGAGTTAATAAAAAACATAATAAATAAGAAGAGTAAACAGTTAATTTATACAAAAACACATTTTTTACTAAGTCTTTTATTTTTATCGGGCCTTGGTTATTTAATAAACTGGCAGATAACATTAAAATCTCAAGGAACAAAAAACATTTTCTAAAAAACTTTAAGAAATTATTGTTTGAAATTGATGAAGTTGACTTAAAATTAAATATTTAGGCATAATTTAGTTCTTTTGTGTATTATAGAAATTCGTTTTTTTGTTTATATGTACAGTTAATAGAATATCAGTTTCATATTTTCCAAGTAAATTCAAACATCTTAAACAAAACCAAAAAATTGGTGAACTAGGCTACCATTTGATTTTGTTAAGTAAATTAAATATAGTAGAGTAGGTTTAAGATTTTACTGATTGTGAAAAATGAACAGATGTTTTGTTTATTTTTAAACTTTTCACTTTCTTTGTACCCTTTTAAGTGAATTGCAGATCGAGAATGGAAAAAGTTGAAATTTGTGAAAATTATTATACCTAGGAAGATGGAGACGTATCAAGAAAAATGAACAAATTTCTAAGCAGGAATGATACAAAGGAAGATGTTGGGATGTTCAAGAGAGGACGATTCATGGGAATATTAAATAGCATGTATTCTCCCAAGAGTCGTCGCCTCTTGAATGCCCCTTTCACTACACAAGATAATCTTCGTTGTCTTGGATTGTTGGGCAGTAAACTATGTTTTCCTCCTTTTCTCACTGACATAGGTGTCATAGTTCTTCAATTGATGTCTATAAATTAGTACTTAGTTTGCCAAAAAGTTTTGAGATTTTTTTTATAATTTGTTAATATCTCAATCAGAGTCTATAGTATTCAAACATTTTTTGTATCAATGTTGAAAAATATAGTATAAGTTTTTGGGTTAAACAGGTTTTAATTAGTCAGTATTATTCTTTAACTAAGCCTAGCACAAATTTTAGCTCCAATATTGTAAAAGCATGCTAACAAAGAGGAGGTGAATAATGTGACTTAGAATTTAAAGATGAAACTGATATTAGCAACCATGAAAATAATGTTGATGACACTTCTGCCAAGAAGAAGGCTATTAAAAAACATAATAAATAAGAAGAGTAAACAGTTAATTTATACAAAAACACATTTTTTACTAAGTCTTTTATTTTTATCGGAGCCTTGGTTATTTAATAAACTGGCAGATAACATTAAATCTCAAGGAACAAAAAACATTTTCTAAAAAACTTTAAGAAATTATTGTTTGAAATTGATGAAGTTGACTTAAAATTAAATATTTAGGCATAATTTAGTTCTTTTGTGTATTATAGAAATTCGTTTTTTTTTGTTTATATGTACAGTTAATAGAATATCCAGTTTCATATTTTCCAAGTAATTCAAACATCTTAAACAAAACCAAAAAATTGGTGAACTAGGCTACCATTTGATTTTGTTAAGTAAATTAAATATAGTAGAGTAGGTTTAAGATTTTACTGATTGTGAAAAATGAACAGATGTTTTGTTTATTTTTAACTTTTCACTTTCTTTGTACCCTTTTAAGTGAATTGCAGATCGAGAATGGAAAAAGTTGAAATTTGTGAAAATTATTATACCTAGGAAGATGGAGACGTATCAAGAAAAATGAACAAATTTCTAAGCAGGAATGATACAAAGGAAGATGTTGGGATGTTCAAGAGGGGACGATTCATGGGAATATTAAATAGCATGTATTCTCCCAAGAGTCGTCGCCTCTTGAATGCCCCTTTCACTACACAAGATATCTTCGTTGTCTTGGATTGTTGGGCAGTAAACTATGTTTTCCTCCTTTTCTCACTGACATAGGTGTCATAGGTTCTTCAATTGATGTCTATAAATTAGTACTTAGTTTGCCAAAAAGTTTTGAGATTTTTTTATAATTTGTTAATATCTCAATCAGAGTCTATAGTATTCAAACATTTTTTGTATCAATGTTGAAAAATATAGTATAAGTTTTTGGGTTAAACAGGTTTTAATTAGTCAGTATTATTCTTTAACTAAGCCTAGCACAAATTTTAGCTCCAATATTGTAAAAGCATGCTAACAATGAGGAGGTGAATAATGTGACTTAGAATTTAAAGATGAAACTGATATTAGCAACCATGAAAATAATGTTGATGACACTTCTGCCAGAAGAAGGCTATTAAGAGTTAATAAAAAACATAATAAATAAGAAGAGTAAACAGTTAATTTATACAAAAACGCATTTTTTACTAAGTCTTTTATTTTTATCGGGCCTTGGTTATTTAATAAACTGCAGATAACATTAAAACCTCAAGGAACAAAAAACATTTTCTAAAAAACTTTAAGAAATGGTTGTTTTGAAATTGATGAAGTTGACTTAAAATTAA